AATCAAACACTCCCTTCCTTTCTTTTTTGCGTCGGTACCCCCTTACTTTCCGATGCAACCCGGAAGTAAAACTGCGGGCCAACAGCCCTTAGCCCCAAATTGCGGCGGAGCCTGTAAGATGGCCAAGCGCTGCGCGATCATTTTGGGGTCAATTGCGCCATGCAAAAGCTCAGCCTTTCGGGTACAGAAGTGCTGGGTCATGTGCGAAACTTCCAAAAGACCCCAGGGAGCCTTCCGACCGGAAAGAAGCAAAACACATTCTTCGAGAACAGGTTCACTCCGTGGCTCTGCACAGACTGCAGGTGTGGCGAAAACGGCTTCCTTCACTCCACGAGAACCGGGACAGGGTGCCCTGTGACGTTCCAACGATATCAACCTCAAGCTTGGACCTCTGAATGCCGGCCGCTACATGTAATGAATCTAGTGAAGAACTAGACTTCTGGCTGGTTTAAACGAAGTCGCAAACTACATACTGCGCACTGGACGGCTACCCACGACACTCTTAGTAGCACTGCTCAACGCATGTTATATCTGTCAACACAATACCCTTGCTACTGTTGGTACCCTGTAGTTCCGCTTGGTGCTGCTGTTGATCTTGCACTTTGACTAAACGACCGCCTTCCCAAAAGCAGAGAAGGGATAGTTGCGGGAGCACAGCCGAACTCGCTTACCGAGATGCGGAACACGAAACTGTATTGTGCCATGCCGGAAGTTCCGCATCATTAAACTGTTCATGATGATGAACATTGCACAGGGCCACCTTCGTTCGGTTGGTTTTGAACTCATCTTCCACCATCTTCTCCTTCAGGGCTGGGATCTGGCTTTGTACGCTGTCCACACATCAAAGATCCTTCCTTGCGTCTATATCCTGTGCCAGCAATGCTTCAACATGACGATTCCAAGAAGACAGAAATATGTGAATTGATACCGAGCTAGACAAAATGACTCTGGCATGCAGAGGCTGCAAATCCGGCACGGCCACGCGAAGTTGCGGGCGCCTACTTCGGAAACAGCCCTTTCTGAGCCTAGCGGTTTACCGGTATAGGCAACAGTAACTGCACAAGTGACAGCACCAGCTCCAGCAGCAGCAGCAGCAGCAAGAGCATTGGAGGCATCAGTAGTAGCAGAAGTAGTAATCCTCGTCGTCGATGTTGGAGGTGCGGTTGTTTGTACTCTTGCTGTAGACACTCTTGCTATTTTTGCTGATGGTCATGTCGTTGCTCTTATGGCAAGTCTTATGGTTATTGTTGATGTTGTTGCTGTTGCTGTTGTTGCTGTTGTTGCTGTTGCTGTTGTTGCTGTTGTTGTTGGTGTTACTGCTGCTGGTGTTGTTGTTGCTGCTGTTGTTGTTGCTGCTATTCTTGTTGCTGTGATTGTTGCTATTGTTCTTGCTATGGTTCTTGATATTGTTCTTAATATTGCTAATGAAGTTGTTGTGAGTATTGTAATTGTGGCTGTTGTTGTTGTTGCTGTTGCTGTTGTTGTCACTGTCATTGATGTAGCCGCCACAGCCGGCACGGATCAGACTGGCAGGGTAGCTCGCGTGGCTTTCGAACGGGCTTTGGGCTCCAACTTTCTAAAGGTCCCTACTGGGCCTCTCTTCTTAACGGTAGAGTGAGTTGGCCCCACTTTTGAGCTTTGGACCACTTTTGCTGAGCCGGTCTGCATCCACCAGGTCCCAATTCCTGCACCCAGTCTTTGTCTAAGACATTGTCACAATGGAGAGACCTACATTGTAGCGAAAATTGATGGCGTTGCTTCCAGTGCCCTCGCAGAATTTTCCATCTCTGCGTGAGAATTCGTTCAAAAGAGCACGCAGAAGAGTTGTTCAAAACCAGGCAACCGCGACTTACAGAGGTCAGCCCCTCACCCCGCAGCTGCTGAGGTGTGCCGGCGACTGCCCTCCTGGCACTCATGGCACTCGCACGCCCGCCCTTCAAGGCGAGCTGGCCAACAAAGCCGCGCAGTGCGCGTTCTATCATGGAATGCAGGGCACCTTGGACAGCAACAATCGGCTGAGATCAAGACTTGGCTAGCAATTGAAGCGGACAAATATTGTAACATCTTGATCTTACAGGAAACTCATTGGAAGGCGTGTTCAGAATTTACGGTATCAGGATGGTACTGGGTTTCTTTTGCAAGCCCCCGAGTTACACCACCAAGCAGGAACGAGCGGGCAGAAGAGGTCGCGAGCAGGAGGCGGGTTTGCCTAGTAAGCCCCCCTCTACCACAGCAAGATGGCCTCGTGGTCCTTTCTTCTCCCAAATTCAACCAGGCTCAGATAGGCTCACGGGACGTGTTCTCGAGGTCAAAGCTTACTGGGCTGGAGCCAGGCTGGCCATCATGGCCATTTACCAACACGGGCGGTCGTCTTCCAAGACCAAGCAGGGTTAACCGCAGCGACAGAGCCGGAGTGCTATCTGCCTTGGCTAAGGCGGTTAGGCCCCAGCGGGGACACTTTCACTGTTTCTGACTCCGACACAGTCGCTTGTGGGTCCCAGAGCGGCACAGCGGGCAGAACCGAGTCCAAACGAAGCTAACTTGACAAACCTGGTAAGCAGGCTTCGAATGGTCGATCTCAACACCATGGCATTGTCGACGATGCTTTACCTACGAACACGCGTGAAGCGTGCACTCAGACCGACTTTATTTTCACGAGCCCTGTGCTGGCTCTGGAGCGAAGCAAGCGAGCCCGCCTGTCAACTCTACTTGGGAAGTTGGAAGCGAGGGGGGCACGCACAAGCTTGTATACCAACCATGAGGCACAGGCTGCTGCCCACAAAGCAGCTGCCCTGCAGCAAGCGGTCCGGTCCTGTGACCCTATAGCGCGCAGGCCATGCAGAGGTGGGTATGCGAAAATATGGCAGACAACGGCAATCCGACATCTTGGGATCTGCTCCTCATGCAAGCAGTTCAATGTTTGTTTCTCCGAAAACACAGCGGACGCAGCCGCCGCCCACCAGGTACAACCTGACAGCCAAGGACCTGCTGCAAGTGAGAACAGAACAAGGCTCCGGCACAGCCGCACTCGACATCCTCGGCACAGCCGCCTAGCTTCGAGGAACACAGTAGTGTGCCGGACATGGCACAGGCGGCCCAGGAGGCGCATAACAAGCCGTGAAGCAAGCTCAGAAAGATAGGGTGCGCATTTTGGCGTCAGCACGTCGCGTCTAAGACCCTAAATTTGCTCAGCCCTTGGCAGCCGGCACGCCGGGCACAGCTCAAGAGCCAGGAGGGCTACTCGACCGCAACACGGAGGATGGTCTGGACAAGAACCTCCTGAACGCAGATCTATGTCTCATCCCGAAGCCAGGCAAGCCGCCAGATCGGCCAAGCAATCTCAAACCACTGGGCATCTTGCGGCCGGATGCCAAAGGTCTCGCCGGAGCGGCACGAGAAGCTCTGTCGCCTTGCATTGAGAGCAGCCTTAAACATCCCGCAGTTTGCGTAATCACTTGGTGGAGGACTTTCGGATGCCCTGGACAGGGTGATAAAACACTGGCGTGAAGCCAGACACCTTACCAGGCCCAGTCGTCACGAGCCACATCAGGGAATGACCCCGCCTAATCTGGCCGGAGGGGTCACTTTTCCGCTGGACTTGAGTCAGGCTTCTCCCGCCAAGAAATCATCCACATGCTGGATGAGCAAGGGGGGGATGCGGACACAGTCCGGCTGGTACATGCTCTTCACGAACTGGTGCAGGGCTTCGGCACAGCCTGCAGCGGGAGCTTTCTGGCAGAGATACACTCCAGACCGAGCGAGATTAAAACGAAGGAAAAGGAGCTACTCCCCGGAAAGAGAGCTGCCAACTCTCCAAATCAAGGAAGAGAACAATCTCACGCTTCTGACAGCGTAAAGAGCCACAGTAGGTCAGACACTTGCAAAGCGAGGAAGAGTTTCACAGTGTCGCGATCATCTTCCCGCTGCTTGTGAATGAAATGTTGTTGTTGTTCTTCTTCTTCTTGTTGTTGTTACTGTTATGACAATTGTTGTTATTGTTGTTGTTGCTCTTGTTCTGGAATTTGAAAATGTTAATACTATTTCTTTTGTTGAAGCTGTTGTTGCGATCGTTGCTATTGAAGTTGTAGTTGTACGTGTTGTTGCCGTGTTATTTCGTAGTTGTAGCTTTACTTGTTGATGTTGTTGTTGTTGGCGTCGTTGTTGTTGTTGTTGCTGTTGCTGTTGTTGTTGTGCTTGGTGTTAGTGTTGTTGTTGTTGGCGTCGTTGTTGTTGTTGTTGTTGGCGTCGTTGTTGTTGTTGTTGTGCTTGTTGTTGTTATGTTGTTGTTGTTGTTGCTGTTGCTGGTATTGTTGGTGCTGCTGCTGCTGCTGCTGTTGTTGTTGTTGCTGTTGTTGTTGCTGTCGCCGTTGCTGTTGCTGTTGCTATTGCTGCCGCTGTCGCTGTCGTTGTCGATGTGGCTGTCGACGTCGCTGTGGCAGTTGCTGTTGCTGTTGTTGCTGTTGTCGCTGTTGTTGCTCTTGCTGCTGTTGTTGCTGGTGTTGCTGTTGGTGAGGAGGTTGGTGTTGGTGCTGGCCCTGTTGCTCTTCTTGTTGCTGTTGTTGTTGCTGCTGTGCCTGATTGTCATTGTGATCGTTGACTGCAACTGTTGTTGTTGTTGTGGTGGTGGTGGCGGCGTCGCAAGTGGTGTTGGTGGTGTGGCCGGGGGTGGTGGGGTGGTGGTGGGGGTGGTGGGGGTGGCGGTGGTTGAGGCGGTGGCGGCGGCGGTGTTGGTGGTGTTGTTGTTGTGGTTGCGGGGTCGTTGTTGCAGTCGCTGTCATTGCCGTTGCCTTTGTCGTTGTCGTGGTTGTTGCTGTTGGTGTTGATGGCGCTGGTGATGGTGATGTTGTGCTTGTTCGTTGCGGTTGTTGTGTTCCTGACCGATGTTCAAAAGCTCATTGCCTCGCTACTACTTCCCCCAGGGTATGTTGAGTTGGGATGATCACAGAGAGGAGGACTGCCTGAGGAAAGTCGCAAAAACCGGCCGAATGCTGCCAAGATACCCAGGGTACATGCTGCAACTCGACTCGAGGCAGCTCATTGAGCATGATCTCGGAAAGCGACACCTTTTGCAAACGAAGCAGGGTCTGTTAAGGTGTAGAGTTCACCTGGGCCTCCTCCACTACAGCTTCGGTATAACGACACTGCAGATGACCATCACATCAACACCCGCCTTCACCACCTTCTCTACCAACTTCACCACCACCACCACCACCACCGCCACCTCCAACACCTCCACCACCTCCACCTCCACCAACTCCATGTCCTCCACCAGCTTCACCTCCTCCACCACCTGTACCACCAAGACCACTTCCACTACATGTACGGTCTCCACGTACATTGTCGTCTTCGTCGTCTTGGCCATGATAAGTCTCCTCGTCGCGCTGGTCATTATCGTGGTCGGAATGGCCATGACATGGCCTTCAGCTGTTGCTCATCATCATCATCATCATCATCACCGTCACCATCGTGATCATCCTGATCAGCAACACCAGGATCGCCATGATGGTGATGATGATGATGCAGAGGAGCAGGAGGAGGAGGAGGCGGCGGAGGGGGACGAGGACGAGGATGCGGATGGCGGTGAGGATGAGGACTAGGATGAGGATGGCGGTGATAATCACGGTGATGACGGCACGCAGTGCAAGTGAAAACACGCGGATAAAGCCAAGGAGGAGTCAACGGAGAAGGAGGACGACCAAAGCGACCATGATAATCGTTACATTGATGATGACAGCCGTAACTGTCATGGCAGTGCTAGTGATGATGTTGATCACGCGATGATGTTGGTACTGATGATGATGATGATGACGATGACCATCATCATCATCATGACCACGGAGGTGATCGTGAATAGCACGTCTTAAGTACCCAGCACAAGAATATTGATCAAACGAGAAAGGAAGATACGTTTCAGCAGATGTAAAGAGGACAGCAAAGGTTTGTTAACCAAAGTCCAGGAGCTCTCTGGCTGTTGCGGTACACCCGCGGAGCACCGGGTCCGATCAGTCCTTCGTGCCTCGGTCTCTTCCAAGCAATCAGTGGAGGTCCTGCCCCCACCCCCACTTCCTAACCCCTCCTTCGCTTTTGTGCTGCTACAACCAGCACATACAAAGCAGGTGATGTGTGGTATCACATGCCGACGGATACAGCAACCTGAAGCAAACAGCACCGGACGACCTGAGGACTTTTGGTTGAGTCGCGGCAGGACTTGGGGCTTTCGAGCTTCCTCTATAGTTTCCAGATTCGGGACACAGAGCTGCATGGTCAGGATTACCAGTCGGAATTTCCGACTCAGAACCAAGCATGCTACAAACACCAACACCGCGGGCCTTCGCTCACAGATATATCTAAGTAAAACCAACATCAACAGACCTAAGCACGCAAACCCCACACACAGTAATCCCAAAACTCACAGAGACCCGAAGCGACAACAGCTACATCTCGCATGCAAAATACCCCCCAACCAAATAATGCTTCAGCGGAATCGCGAAGACGCAAGCTTCAAGAAGCACATCCCACGCCCCTAACCCAAGATTCCATGATCTAAACTGCTGAGCCCTGAGTCCCAGCCCCTCAGCCCTGTCGGGTTACCCCAAGCTTCAAACCCCATCCACAATCCCTGTCTAGCCACCCTCTTGTCTTCAGCAGGTGCAGAAGGTTCCTGAGAGAAGGGAGAAGGGGAAAGCTGCCGGGGAAGGGCTCCTTCGGGCGTTCTGAAAAGCCTGTGCTTCGGGATCATTGGCTTCAGCAGCTAGGATCTTAGACTTTAGGACCTGGGCTTCAACATGGGCAAGACTAAGACAAAACAAGGTCACGGTCAAATTGAGCGGCAACGCTGCATGGAAAACTAACGGAGCGAAGCAGCAAAGAGCGACCCTGCAGAGATGCTCGCCCAGCATATCCTCAGCAGGGGAAAAGAGCAAGCCCTGGCTCTGAACTTTTGGGTTACTGGCGGGAGGGGGGGATGAGGTTCTGGCTTCTCAGAAACGCCACTGCCTGGCATGCGCAAAGAGACCGAAGCCACATGTCGATGTCAGATTCCTCCAAGATTATCATCTACATCTTCCGCTCCGACATCACTGAAGAAACTGGATATTCGAAGCATAGCAAACTCCATGCTTGTTTGTTGCCCTTTCAGCATGTGGCCCTTCAGAAGATGTGCTTATGGCTTCGACGCTTGAAGCAGCTCGGGCCCTGGATTGGAACTCAGACAAGCTTCGAACATAAAACTGCCCAGCGTTCTCAGTCTTCAGCACTGCGAGGAATGCCTGACATGACAGATTCCAGAAGCTTTGCCTTATGCTGCTGTGAGTACAACCCATTACAGTCGTCGCTAAATCAAGGGTGGAAAACGGTGTTGGCCTTTTCTTTTTGTTTGCCCCTGTTTGTTGCGGAAGCGGGGTTCATCATCGTTCGGGGTATGCATCCTGTAAGACAAACATACTACAACGTAATCTAATGGAGTATCGCATAAATGTGACTTACCACGACCCTATGCTGTACTTCGCAAAATAATACAGTTCAACAAGAGGTAACCTACTCCAGTATGTCAAAATACAACCCAATGCAATAGGACTATGTTAAATCGTACGAAGCCATACTGTACTGCATCTGCGCATATTCTCTTGCAAGTGCATAACCTGTTACAGCTGAATCCAAACGGAAACTGATTCGATCTTGAACAAATTAAAGCTTTAAGGTTTTACGTTGAACCAGTTCTGATCACACCTTGCAGTACTGGCCTTACTACATGATCCGGATAGCACAACTGTGGAGGAGCCATGGTACCGAACGGCACGGGGCAGTTTTAAAGGTGGTGTCGTTTGGCTTGGCTCGGCTTGGCTTCAGCAGGGGTGGGGGGGTTGGGGGAGGAGGCGGCTTGTCCTACGCCCCCTATATATGCGCACCAGTCAATGCAGGATTTGCACAAACTAACAAACAACCAACAGACGCCTGGAATACATAGTCTTCCTGCCTTCATCATCTTTGTGTATGCAACCTGTATGAATTTAAAAGCATGTTACCATGTAACACAAACATAATACAACGGAGTCACATGAAGTATCGCATAGTGCGACATACCATGACCTTATGCTGCACTTTGTAACCGAATACAGTTCAACATGCAGAATGTTAAAATTCACCCAACGCAACACTATGTTAAATCGTATGAGGCTAAGCTTCTCAACAGTATCATATTGTACTACATCTGTGTATATTCTCTTGTAGCCGCATGATGTGATGCTGCTTAATCCGAACCGAATCTGATTCTAGTAAAACAAACCACAGCTGTGCAGTTTTAAGTTGATTAGTATGTCAGTATGTGCAGCCTTCCTGGAGCCGCCATGGTACTGAGTGTCAGGAGGCAGCCTAAACCCTAAAATGCCACAAGCCGAAGCCGCAAGAATGCGGACCTAAGCACTCCTCGCTACAGGGGCTTGAATGTCTTGTTGGGTTGAGTTGGGAGCTGAGGCTTTGAGTGTTGAGTTCGGGGATTGTGTAGGTTCTGATTTACCATACAGCACCCTAAACCCCTGACTGAGTCCTGAAAACAGAAGTCTCGGAAATCTGAGTCTTCAAGTTGGAAATTCGAAATGCCTGAAACGCCAACGGCCAGCTCACAAAACATCGAGGAAAAGCAAGCCTCCCAAACCACACAAACGAAACCCCTAAACTCTTATCGACGCTTTCGACGTGCCTTGCAGGCCGCGGGGCTTTCAAAATTTACGAACCTGGACTCGCGGATGACTTCTTTTTGTTGTGGGGGGGGGCTCTTGTGGGAGCTCGCGGCTTGGAGAAGCCCGAAACCCGACCCCGAACTCCTTCGGTCCACCCGGCTCGATGTGACATCCTAGGCTTTATAGTCTCGACCCTAGAGCAGAGGCTGCAGAATCCCCAAAAACGAGTCGTTGGGTGTCAAGCTGTGCTAAACGCAGGAAACATTCGTTCGTTGGTTCTTGACTCTGGCCGGATCTGCCGACTGTCGCCTGGCGTGTTTCCCACTCAGGCCCATCTTGTTGCCCGACTCGACCCTCGTTGCTGTTCAGATATTCCTCAAGCCAGAGAACTCTCAAGCGTAAACCTCAAAACTCTAAACCCTAAAAACCTCCGAAGCCCTCGACCCGAAAAGCCCTAAACCCTCGGCTCGGCTCTCCTTGCCTCGTTGTATCCCACCCCAACCCTGAAACCCCATAATCAACCCTACGGCCCTACGGCTGTTGCCTGAATGAATGCTCGAGTCGTGTGCTCGAACCGCACACGTTTCAATCTGGTTTGGTGCTCCAATCGCGGGCCATAGAACTGCTGCGGTAATTGATTGGCTGGTGCTTCTGTGACACTTGCTTCAACCGCTTGTGCTCGAATCTGGGCTGGATTGCTTGCTGCTGATCATTTGCCTGGTCGTGCTACCACAAACCGTCCTGTGTGCTCAAACAGCTTGTATATGACATATCACTAAAGTTTCGCAATCATACCGTCCCAGATCATAAATCCACAAATCATATGATACCATGAACCGACAGGATCTGATGCACCGAACCGCGTACCCGGTTGGGTGCATTCACGACGGTGTCGCAACCTGCACATCGCCTCCACCATACTGTAATGTTGCGCTCTGTCTCACTGGTTCTCGTTGATTCCTGTAGATCTTTACAATTCGATAAAGCAGTATCTTCATGAAGAAGCATGTCACTGCTCCAAGTACGGACTAGACCAGCTCATCTAAGACCTATTGCACCGTGTCAGACCATGCAGCCACGGAACGCTAACCCAAGGTTAACATTGTCGTCCTCTCGGGCACATGGAAGGTAGACAAAATTGAACCTGGAGGCTGGCTTAGGTTTCTGATTTAGATTGCAGCATTCGCGATGTGAGCTTCCCTTCATGCGAGGACTTTTGCTTCAGAGTCGAGTCGGCTACACGACAGGCCTGAAAGCAGGTCGAAGCTTGCACTGATTATGTGCGTGTACAAATAAGAACGGTTAGTAGTTGTAGCAGTTTGGGATGTGCTTGCAATGATTGCACTACCTGCTCCATCTTGGGTTGTAAGGCTCCGTGCGACCATTACGATGACTTGCGCCTATAGCTGTTCTTAGGAAGTCAATGAAATTTGATATGGTATAACAGTGATTTATTGATATGTTCGAAGATAACATGACATGTTTTAGTATGATATGGTAAACTAAAACGTGATCATAACAGAGTAGAATATGCTACAACGACATATAACATAAAAATATTCTACGTTAGTAAAATATGGTGTGAATTAAAATTACAACATAAGAGGAATCAAAAGATATAATATTGTATAGTATAGCACAGTACAGTATAGTAAAGGACAGTATAGCCACTATCAAACTTACAAAATGGAGAATATCTGTAAGACAATAATCAGACAATAATCTATATTACAAGTAATGTATGGTATAAACATGCTGAATACTGTATTATAACACAGTACAGCAATACAGAACATGTAGAAAGGTAGTTAGAAGATATGAAATAAAACAAAATATATAAAGATAAGTATTACATGGTATAATTCACTAGAGTAGTATGAGATACCATATGAAACATAGCGCATTTAAAACAAGCATAATATACAACAAAATGTGACAGATAGTATGGAATAAAAGCTGCAACACAAAGACAAAGCAAAACATATGATATGTAAAAAATACATCAAATAGTTTATTTTGTAATATAAGACTTAATAGAAAATATAATGTATAATCTGTAATATACGACATATCGTAGATATGAAGAAGTCAGGTGGATATAAAGTATTATATAGTATACTGTAAAAACTAATATGCAACATATTGTGTAGTGTGAAATACAATATAATATCTGGTACAATGTAAACAGGAAACAGAATCTCTAATTCAATATGACATGAGATATATGATTTTATATACAGATACACTAACGTTTCACATAATATATAAAGCATACTCTGTTCGAATATAAGTATAAAATATAATACAGAATACAAACGTAAAATATACTGGAAAATATAACACATGGTTTAATCTAAGGACAGATACAAGCTATACTATATACTGTAAATCGAAAATGTAGCGTAATACTATAAAACATATGTACTATAACATGATGACATATAGTAGTATATCACATGCTATGAAATAATAGCCATAATAGTAATAGCAAGCTGGTAATATGAACATATGTTACAGTGATGTATTATGATATATTATGGTATTTTATGATGTACTATGATATAGGGTAATTTAATGTATATAGTACAATCTAGTGTAATGTAGCATAACATGATATAAGTCAATTCATGAAAAATATTATGTTGTAATGTAACGCAACGTAACAGAATCTAATGTAGTATGAAATAATGCAGCATGGAGTGGTATTATATAATATCACCTAACATACTAAAGTATATAATACATTATGAAACAAAGACCATGTAATGGAGTATAATGCAACAGAAGATCATACATTTCCCTGCAACAGAACACAACATAACATTACATAACATAATAACAAGACATAACATAACATAACATAACATAACATAACAGGACGGAACAGAACAGAACATCAGAGAACATGACATGACATAACAAAGTGTAGTATTCAAGACAAGAAGACAAAATATAGCATAATGTGTAAATATAGCATAATATATTCTATTGTATTAAGAACTCATGATCAAACGGCTCCTTCAAAACCTTCCTGGATCCCAAACAGGGGAATAGGAAATGTGGCCTTTTGCGCTCAGAAAGGCTGAGGTCAGCTTTAGGTGCTCTGATCTTCTTGAGCACTTCTCCCTCTAGAGTGCATCGGGAATGCAACGCGTGGTTGTTTTGTATACCACTCCTCGAAACTCAGTTCGAATCATGCCGACTGCATGAAAAGCTTCGGATTCTGTGCTAGCTGTTCCGGACTGCATGGAGACTTGGCGGCTCTTGAGACATCCCCTACTGGCACACGTTACACGTTGAAGCCTTGGGGCTTAAGATTTGGATTATTAATTATGGCCAAGCCAACAACTTCATGGAGGGCCTAACACCTCTCAAAGAACAAAACCGAGGTGACTCCAGATTTTGTGCAGCCGAGCAACGTCGTGAGCTCCGAGGATTTGCTGCCTCACGTGTGGCACGGAGGATGAAGATTGGCAGGAAGCATCCAGAATCCAGAAATATGTCTAAGAAAGCGAATCGAACCCGGGAAGCCCTCGTGGCTCACTTGTCGAAACTATTTTGAGGCTGCAGAAGCTGTGGTTGTTTGCTCGCACGCTTCGCTCCAGCTCGACACAGAAAGAGGCCCCACACGCAGCTGGCAAAGAGGGCGCTCGATGCGACTGGGCAGAGCGGATGGAATATAGCCACAAACGACAATCGCTATCGACGATGCGTCACACAGTCCGCCGGCTGGTATGGTCTCGCACGACAAGCACCCGTGGACGGCTGGAATGACAGCGGCATGGGTGAGTCAGACGTTTTGCCGAGATGATGTCGAAGCAGCCAAAGTTCAAAGGTACAAAACATGGTTGCTAAAGGCAATTTGGCACGACCCTCACATGTCAGCCAAAAACACCGAGTAAAAGGTGCGGTTTCGGGGATCGAAGTGGACAGGCACACGGGAAATTACTATGCCTTCGGCGGCAGCGCATACTGCGAAATTTATCCACAAAGTAACTCTGAGACACAGGAATATTTTGGGTCCTGAAGCTTCACGTTCTCTGAATTTGGAGCTGCGGGCTTTTGCACATCTGGGAGATCAAGCCAAACAAGCTCTTGCCAAACAGCCAAGGCTCATGTTTGCTGCAGGAGCGAGGTAAACATGCCGACGGAATGCTGACCTGGCGCCCAACAAACCAATGCTGCCGTGTTTGAGCCTCAAGCTGGAAAATAAATGATGACAACACCCTTCGAAGTCTCCCCAAGTATGCATCTCAATGCAAGTGAAACAAACGAAACCTGGCAGTCCAGTGAGCCGGCTCTCTCAGAGCATCCTACATTGATCACCTGTGAAGGTCGCGACCCTGCATTGCACCGATATGGTGCTACAGTTAAAACTGTGACGATTACCCGCATGTTAGAGTGTTATCGTCTGTTCCAGGATAAAATATAGAACACATACCTGCACAAGAACGTACGGAACAATGCACCTAGCTGTCTACCTGCAACAAGACAAAACCAAGAGACATAACGGCCAAACAACCAAACAGCCAACGACAAAAATCGACTCCTCAAACACAAAAGATTGGCTTCAGCATCACGGTCCGGAAAAGATTTCGGCTACATGGACAATCGCATAACAACCTGCGGTAGTCTCAGTTGGTGGGTTTCTCTGTCGTTCTTCGGCTGCTTACTGGCACCGAAAGCGTACCCATAAAGGCACCACAGTCGTGCCATCAGGCTGAGATGAAAGTAAACAAAGGCTTGCACACAAACCCCTGAATTCCGAAGCCCGAGCATGTCAATCTGACCAATCAGGTCTGGGGAACGATGCACACCACGCATGATGATGGTGGTGTCGCTCGAGCGGGTATGGCCGATTTGCTGAGACCACATGATTCCGACACCTCAGGGCTTGAGGCTCGACGGCGCTCTGCTGAATGTCGGCGAAACACAAGATGCAGGAGATCTGCACTGGACATCCAGGAGCTCACATGCTCACTCATGATGAGGGGCTGAAAATGCTTAAGGCCATGGCTTACTTAGGTTGCACAAAACCTACTTGTAATGCTCCGGAGTCCAGATCCCTTGCCCAAGACAGCAAAGAACTGTGCCGCCAGAGCCACGGTTGGGCGGATGGCTGCTGGCTATCTACGGCAAACTAGCTTTTAACATTGCGACCCCAACCTGAGCCGACGAGCAGCCAAAGGAATAGGGTCCAAATGGCTAGGATGCTTGTCGAAGCCTGGCACTCGGGAGACATCGGGAGGCACAGCTCCCTCGAGGACCACAGTGAACCAGCGAACCAAGATGAAGCGCGTTGTGTGTGCTTCCGGACAACCCAGCCCGGAAGATAGACCTCAACAGAAACAGGTAAAGCGTGCCTGACCGCAAAAGCTCCCCACATCTTTCCCAGCGCTGGTCTTTCCCAGCGTTGTTTGTACTGACATACCCCGATGTGGTGGGCCCTGCGGAGTGCAACATGGCAACTCGTGAGAGGAAAACTTCAAAAGCCGCCAAATGAAACAGGGCGTATCCTGAGATCATCATCAAACTGATCTGCAAGCAACCCCGCATGCCAAAACGGAGCTGGGAATTCACAGCCAGATGTGATATGCTTGGACTCGCAACTGGAACACAGCTCACGAAGGAGAACCCAAGCACAGACCCGGAGAGTCTTGTAGGTGGCGAAATTTGTAGACATAAGACTCAAAAGAAGCGAAAAAAACGAAACAAACACAGAGAAGTGGAAAACCGACCTCAGAAAACCCAAGCACAGCATGGCAAGCACTTAAAGAAGCTTCAAAAGCTTAAAAGAATAACAAAAGCGCTGTGAGATGAGGCAGAGACGGCTCTGCAGCAGGCGGCCCTCGTTGCAACTCACGGCGCAGTCGCCCTCCAGCCTGGGCTAACGATTCGTTGCCTTCTGCTTGGGGTCGGGGGGATAATGACTGTGTATTTCGAGCGAAGGTTCTTCTTAACACTGTGTTGCAACCTGCTCCTATCGAAGCCGAATTTCCAGTTGCCACTCCTGCAGCTGGTGCTTACAGGTCCACACAACAAGACCTGAACCCATACCCGGACACATTTAGGCCTTAGACAGGTATTCTTGAGTTTTGCAGCTCTCACTTTCAGCATCCATGGACATGCTGGGATACGGCCATCATATGAAGGCTATAGGCACCGCGCGTCCCCACGCAGAAGGCACAGCTGCTGTGGCACAGGATCTGTTCAATCTGCGCAAGGCTAGAATCGCAGGTTTTTGCCAGGTTTCTTGACAGTCTTATTCCACGATTCTTCATAGTTGAAGGCTGTCGTCCAACTCTAGCAAGATGAACGGAGCAAACTTGTAAACAGGAGGGAAGCCAGTAGCATCAGCCCCGTTAAAGGCATCAGCATCATCAGCATCACTACCACCACCATTCCCACTGGTTTTCCAAGATCACCGACTTCGAGCGTCTCTCGACCGCGTGGCGAGTTGCGGTACCTCCGAAGGCTCCCGCATGGAGCTCCGGTGCTTCGGCCAGACTTGGAATGGTGGAAAAGCACACGTACAGAGCGCACAGCACAGGCCGCCGAAGCTGCTGATGGCGGGGGGTGGGTGGACGGACACGATTGCAATGTCAATGAATATGACATCGGCAACGATAATGATAGTCATGATGAAGATGATGCCTGTGATGCTGATGATGACGCTTACTGGAAGACGAGAATGCCGGTAGCATTGGTCATCATTAGACCAACGATAAGTTATCGATCCGACACCAATCTAACACCCACCATCATCACCCACACCACCGTCAACATCACCACCATCACCTTGTATTGCCTGATACTGTATGGCCGTTGCTTTTGTGCTGGTTATATGTATGGCCGATTTCAGACAACTACGAACATTATAACATTCTTTCGGCTATCGAGGTTTCTTCACGGTCGCGCTTTTCCGTCGGATATGAAGTATGACGGTTTTTGTTTAGTTTCGGCTGGGTGCACGGGAACTTGAAGCGTACCTCTACTGTGCTTATGCTGATTGGTGTGGCACGTGAGAGGCATCACCTAGGGCGTTCTCGTTGAGTTCGCTGAGATGGCTGCTTGGATATGATGACGCCTGGATTTTGGCCATGGTGCTTACTACTACTACTACTACT